AGCCCTTTCACAAGGGTGGCCAGCAGAGGAACGGAACTCCTTTCTGCACCTACTGCAAGAAGTTTGGCCATACGAAGGGGCAGTGCCGTACGCTGAAAAGGGCTGAGGATTCTGGCAAGTCGCCGCAGGCGAACAAGAAGGGGGATGCAGGACCCTCAGGCTCGCGCCAGGATTTTCACAAGTCCAACTAGGGTGTGGGTACCTAGCTGGACAGGTAGATCGAGGTGATGAAGCTTACGTCCTTCGTGACGATGATCTTTTAAAGCTAGAGAAACTTGCTGATTGCAAAATCTCTTGTTTGTTTGCTTCTTCTTTGAGTAAAAATTCTGTTTTCCTACCTCGATTGTACCCACTTACGCAACTATCTATCAAAACGCTCAGAGATAAATTCTCTCATTTGCTGCAACGTGGATGAATTGCCTTCCATAATGGAATTGGTGGGTCGTTGTACCCAAGAGCACCCATTGACTTCAGTCGGTCTGGTGACTCGCACAATCAAAGGCAAACATTTTCATATGCTTAAGGGATGGACAGTACTGGCCGCATGGGATAAGGGATATCACATGTGGTGGCCTAACAGCCGATCTTATGGTCGCGCAAAGTATAATGTCAAGGGATACTACCTCCCACCAACTCGCATTGTTGCATGCCCCATTCGACCAAAACATCAACAAAACCTATTGCTGGTGGGTCGAATAGACGGGGATGAAGCAAAGATTCTTCTTGATACGGGCGCGAGTGTTTCTATTTTTTATGAAAACAGAGCCACAAGTCGTGGGGTCCTCGTTGAAGGGCTGTCTTGCCCCATTCGTCTTGGTGATGATCGAGTCATCCCAAGCAAAGGGCAGACACGTAACAATATCGAAATTCAAGGCTATAAGGAGACCATTAACGTTTATGTCCTCCCATTATTGGCAGGCATAGACCTTGTCCTCGGAATGGACTGGCTTCGAGCCAATGAGGTCATTCTTGACTTCCAACACAACACTGTAACTTTCACGAAAAATGGTGTTGTGGTCCGGTGGCATGTTTCAGGGGATGCGAACATTGTTGATGCCACACATCCCGATCGCCCCGACGTTCAGTTCGCACTTGCGAATCAATTTGGGCAAGATGCAAAATCAGCTGATACACTCTTTGTTGTACAGCTAGAGGAAACCACACAATCGTCTCCTGAAATCGAGGATTTTCCTCCTCAGATGAAGGCTCTGGCGGAAGACTTCAAGGAGATTTTCAAACCGATTCCTGATGGACTCCCTCCAGACCACGCTGTGGGTCATACCATTCCAGTGGAGCCTGGAAAGGCACCACCGTTCCGACCTCTGTATCGCCTCAGTCCAGCTGAGTACGAAGAGGCTAAGCAACAAATCGAAGATTATCTGAAAAAGGGATGGACTGAACCCAGTGCATCACCATACGGAGCACCAATCTTGTTTGTTAACAAGAAGGGCGGAGGGCTACGCATGTGCGTTGACTATCGCGCCTTAAATAAGATCACGATTAAGAACAGATATCCGCTGCCTCGCATTGAGGATATATTTGATCGTCTCCAGGGTGCCCAATGGTTTAGCGCATTGGACCTCGCACAGGGGTACCATCAGTTGCGCATCACCAACGACGATGTACCCAAAACAACGTTTCGCACGCCGTTTGGGCATTTTCAATGGCGTGTTCTGAGTATTGGTCTGACCAATGCACCGGCCTCTTTTCAGAGGGCGATGAATGATGTCTTTTGTGAGGCAATCGGTCAGTTCGTCTTGGTTTACCTCGACGATATACTGGTCTATTCCAAGACCGGACAGGAACACACAGAACACCTAAAATGGGTGTTAAACAAACTACGAGAGCACAAATTCTTTGCTCGCCTGTGGAAGTGTCACTTCTATAAGCGCGAATTAGAATACCTGGGACATCTTGTGGGGAACAGTGGGTTGAAAGTCGATCCCAAGAAAGTGGCGGCTGTTGAGAACTGGCCCGTTCCACAGGACGTGGGTCAAGTCAGGTCCTTTTTGGGCTTAGCCAATTATTTTCGCCGTTTCTTGGAGAATTATTCAACCATCGTTGCCCCATTGACCGCACTTACTCGAAAGGGTACGTTGTGGGAATGGACCAGACAATGCCAAGAGGCATTTGAAGTGGTCAAACAAAAGCTGACCAATGCTCCCGTTCTGGTATTACCAGATCCAACAAAACCCTACGAGGTAGTCACAGACGCCTCAACAATAGGGATTGGTGCAATCCTTCTGCAAGAAGGACGCCCTGTGGCATACGAGAGTAGAAAGCTCTCCCCGGCAGAGCAGCGCTATACGACTTCCGAACAAGAACTGTTGGCAGTCGTTCATGCGCTACGAACATGGCGATGTTACTTGGAAGGTGTGGACTTTGTTGTCACGACTGACCATTGTCCAAACACCTACTTTTCCAGCCAAGCCACCCTTACTCGTCGTCAAGCCCGATGGGCTGAGCTCCTTAGTGGGTTCACATACGATATACGATATCGGGCAGGTTCGACGAACATGGCTGACCCCCTCAGCAGACAACCGATAGGGGCAGCAAACGGGCTTGAGGACACCGAACATGCTGCTGTCTTTGCAGCTTACTTTGGTATCCTCGCTGTTGCTCGAGTCAGTGAGATTACCTTCAGTGATTTTCTGAAACGAATCCGCACAGGCTATCAGATTGATTCCTGGTTTCAGAACCCACAGAATACGAAGGATCTCTCGTGGGAGCATGAGCTCTGGTGGCATGGAAAAGAAATTGTAGTACCACATGTGGGGAACCTACGGATTGACATCTTACAAGAAGTGCATGCCAGTAAATACTGTGGACACCTCGGAGTTAAGAAAACCCGATGGGCATTGTCTGACGTATACTGGTGGCCAGGGTTGGGCAATGAAGTCCAGTAGTTTGTTACACGCTGCGACACGTGTGCACGTAACAAACCGAGTACACAAAAACCCGGTGGGTTGCTTCAACCACTCGAAATCCCTGACGAACCTTAGGAAAGTGTATCAATGGATTTCATCACTGATCTCCCTAAAACACGAGATGGTCATACAGCGATCCTCGTCTTCGTGGATCGTTTGACCAAGATGGTGCACTTCGTGCCTACAACCATGGACGTATCAGCAGAAGATACGGCTAAGTTGTTTATTGCACATGTTTTCCGTTTACATGGTTTGCCTCGTGTGCTAGTGTCTGACCAAGACCCTCGTTTTACAAGCCGTTTTTGGCAAGAGGTCATTCGAACACTAGGGACGAAGCTGAAAATGTCGTCTGCATTCCACCCTCAAACGGATGGACAGACCGAATGCACAAATCGCACTCATGAACAAATGCTTCGTTCGTTTATTGGCCCAACACATGATGATTGGGATGAGATGTTGCCAGTCGTGGAATTTGCTGTCAACAACTCAGTGCATGAAAGCACCCACGAAAAACCCTTCATCTTAAATTGTGGTCGGCACCCCACAACACCTGCTACGCATGGGGTCAGTGGCTTGAAAATTCCAGCCGCTAAGGACTTTATTGGCAAGCAGCAAGAAGCGCTTAAGTCTGCTCGTCGTTGGTTGCAACTTGCCCAACAACGCCAAAAGTCTTATGCCGACATGAAACGCCGGGACATCTCTTTTCAAGAGGGAGACAAAGTTTTGTTGAGTACGAAAAACATTCTACTCAAATTACCTGGGGCGCGAAAGCTGTTTCCTCGTTGGATTGGGCCATTCGAGGTCATCAAGCGGGTTGGGGCGGTGGCTTATAAGCTTAAGCTACCAGACACCTTGCAGATTCACAATGTCTTCCACGTGTCTCTGTTTAACAAGTATGTAGCCGACGGCACATACTTACCACCACCAACCATCGTCCTAGGTGAGGAACTATATTATGAAGTCGAGCGTGTGCTGATGCACCGTGATTGACAACGCGGCCGTAAAACAAAACGTGAGTTCCTCATTAAGTGGAAAGGCTACGGGCTTGAACACAATTCTTAGGAGCCAGAAGAACACTTGACTGAAACAGCAGTTCAAGCTTACATGGAAGACTTGGCTCTCCGAGCAGCCCCACAGCCACTGGATGGTGTTGACCCTGGCTGTAATGTGGTGCGTCGTGCTCGCAGCACTCGCCCCAAGAAGCACTCCAAGGCGACGGGGATGTTGCCAACTGGAGGGGGAGGAGTGTAGCGCATCACCTACCTACCCAAGAAACTATCCTAGCTAAGGCTCTCTAAAGCGCTACCTACGCAAGGTAGCGACTTACGAGAAGAAAGAGTTGGAAGGGATGATTATTGATTGGTCCACAATTGTGAATCACCACCCACTAAAAGACAAACAAGGTTGGGAACCAACCCAACCTTCACATTGGTGGAAATTCAAACCAATAACATTTCAACGTTGCTGTTACAAATTACAACAGGTAACCAAACAATTCTTATCACAAATAAGTTGCTCTCATTGGTTGCAAATCCAACCAACATGCCACCTAAGCAAACTCACCTTAAGAAGCTCCTTGCCCTTGTTGCCATGGAGGAGGTGGAGCTCCCCAAGGGGTATTGAGGAAGGGGTTTGGAGCTCCAAGGCTCATTCTCTCATTCCCAACTCCAATTGATCAATTTTGGAAATGGGATTTTCTCTCTAAGTACAAGGTTTCTCCCTCACAAGTGCTCTAGCCTTCAACTAATCTTTTGTTGAAACTACTCCATCACTCTCAGAGCTTCAGCTACTAAGCCTTCAAGGCCCAAGGCTAGCTTAGGGTCTAGTTTATCTTGTATGCACTTGTTGTTGGCGTTTTATAAGCCTACTATAGACCCTTTTGTGGGCATTGGCTATAAGCCCGGGTCTTTATTGTGATTTTAAGGGCGTTTCTCTATAAGCCCGTGTTACATTCAGCTTCTCCATCGGCCGCGGAAGTTCCGCCGCGCGTCGCCGCGGCGGGCGCTTCCCGCCCCGCGGAGAATTCCGCTGCGGCCGGCGGATGGGCGATAAGAGGGATCGGCGGAGGACGCGATGATCGCGGCGGAAGTCGCGGCGAAGAAGGCGAAGCGCGACGCTGCGTCCTCATCGTCTGCTGCTGCGGCCGCTGCTGTTGAGCCCAATTCTATCCCTGCGGAGCGCGCTGCCGCTGCTTATGTTGCTGCTGAGGCGCCTCAGGAAGCTTCCGCCGCTGCTCCTTCCACCGCCGAGACTGCTGATGCCCCCCCTACCGAGCCTTCCCCCGCCGCGCCCCCTGCGCGCCCGACGGTGTACAAGCTGCGCCAGGCGCACAGAATGCTGTTCTCGGAAGCTTCCGCGTACTTGCTGGGGGAGGAGGGGTGTGTGCTGGTGCTGCAGCGAGGCGACCTCACCAAGTGGTTCGTGGACGGGCGCACCGACGCTATAGTGAGTCTTCTTATAACGAGTGTTCTTAACGATTTTCTTGCAACGAGTGGTTGAGGAAACGTAAGTTAAACAAGGCAGCATGCAGATTCCCTATCAGTGTTTGTGTTGCATGACGCACACTTAAGGCACTTCAACTCCTTTGTGTGTGTGTGTGTATGTGTGTGTGTGTGTTTTTGTGTGTGTGTATGTGTGTGTGTGTATGTGTGTGTGTGTTGGTATGTATGTGTGTGTGTGTATGTGTGTGTGTGTGTTGGTGTGTATGTGTGTGTGTGTGTATGTGTGTGTGTGTGTGTATATGTGTGTGTGTACATGTGTGTGTGTGTGTGCGTGTGTGTCTAGTGTGTGTGTTGGTGTGTATGTGTGTGTGTGTATATGTGTGTGCGTACATGTGTGTGTGTGTACATGTGTGTGTATGCGTGTGTGCGTGTGTGTCTGCATGTCTATGTGAGTGTGTGCGTGTGTGTGCATGTCTGTGTGTGCTCCTCTCTCTGTTGATGTGTGTATATGTGCATGTGTCTGGTTGTGGGTGCATGCACATGTGCACGTCCACTGAATACAGGTGAATGCAGCCAACGAGAGAATGCTGGGAGGAGGGGGAGTGGACGGAGGTGAGCCTCGCCCTTCACACACCGCCCCGCCCTACACAAACCTCCTACCACACTGCCCTGTGCTTCATGCAAATAATAATTAAATGACGATCAAATTAAGTGCAAACGGCCAACAGATTACCATGTTAGCATATCTGTTTCAATCCATGTCATTCATCTTTCTCCACACAACAAGCCTTTCTTTCTTGGAACCTTCCCCTACTCACTGCTACTTTGAGGAGATGTCTGAGAATCTGTCAGCAAGCCTCGATAGGGGATGCCCTTTCAGCCGAAACATGTTTGTTCCTTGTTTCAGTCACAAGAGTGCAAGGCAGTACCAAAGAGCAAAGGGGGTACAGCGTGTGCCTAATCCATTCCCCTACCCCAACTCTACACTTGCCTCCCTTACCCTCCCTCCCCCTTCAGCCATCCACAGGGCGGCAGGCCCAGCATTGGTGAGGGAGTGCAAAGCGGTGCCTGAAGTGAGCAAATGATGCAACAGGCTTATCCATTCTTATCCCCACTCCTCGTCCCCTCCCCCCCCCCCCCCAATTCCCTCCTCTGTCCTCTCCGCAGCCATCCTTAGGGCGGCAGGCCCAGCACTGGTGAGGGAGTGCAAGGCGGTGCCTGAAGTGAGCAGAGGGGTGCGCTGCCCCACAGGGCAGGGTGTGTGCACGGGGTGAGTGCGACTGCTGAAGTGATTGTACACGTTGTGAGTGTGTTTGTAAGGGGTAAGACTGATTGTTAAGGGTGATACTGAACTGCTGGAATGAACATTGCAAATTCCCCCCTCCTCCCCCCCCCCCCCCCCCCCCTCCTCCCCACCCGAACACTGCATTTGATTCGTTCTCTCATCCCTCCTTTCTCAAGCTTCTTCCCCCGTCTCCCTACACAAGAGGGGGTGAGATCCCTCTTAGTGAGGGCATGTTTTCCATACGGCCGGTTGGGGTCCATCTGTCTCGCCCCTCCGAAGTGACTTTTGAGTCGACTTAAAAGTCCATCGGTCTCGCCCCTCTGTCCTTCTCTCCTCCTCCCTCCCCTCTCCCCCTCCTCCCATGCCCTTTTCCAATTCCCCTACACCAGAGCTGGTGAGCTCCAAGTGAGGGCAAGTTGTCCACACGGTGGGGTGGGGTGGGACCCCTCTGATTCTGTCGCTCCTCTCTCCCCTCCCCCACTTTTCCCATCTTCCCCCCCCCCCCCCCCCCCCCTCCCTCCCCCCATTCCACCAGGGCGGCAGAGCTGCCAGTGAAGCATGTGATTCACACGGTGGGGCCCATCTACACGTCCGCACAGCGCTCTGCACCGCTGCTGCACTCTGCCTACATGTGAGTCATGCTGACTCTTGCTGGCCAATGCTGATCAACTCCAGTCAACCTTGCTTGATGCGTGCTCTGCGCCTCTGCTGCGCTCCGCCTACGTGTGAGTCATGCTGACCTCTGCTGGTCAATGCTGGGCAGCTCAAGTCAACCTTGCTTCATGCATGTCGCCTATGTATGAGTCAGAGCTGGTCTGTTTGACGCAACCTCACCTGCCAATGCTGGTCAACGCTGGTCAATGCTGGTCAGCTCAATTCAACCTTGACAAATGCTCTCAGCCCTGCTGCATTCCGCCTACGTGTGAGTCAACGTTGGTCTCTTTACGGCAACCTCATTTGTCAGTGTTGGTCAACGCTGCTCAATGTTGGTCAATCTGGCTCTGGCAAATGGCCAAGTCGACTCAATCAACCACGTCAACGCCTTCCACACTTTTCCCATCCTCCCCACCCCACTTCATTCCTTGCAACAACCCAATTTCGCACTTGCATGCCCTCTCCTCGCATTGTCCAGAACTGTGTAATCCTCTTGTCCCTCCATCATCCCATGCCATCCTGTTGTGGCAGCCCCTTGCATGCCATCTGTCATGCTCACATACACATAACCCCCACCTTCCTGTCCCCCTTTGTCCCCTTTTTTCCCCTCCTCTCGTCCCCTCCCCTCTCCCCCCCCCCCCACAACCTCCTTTTTCCCCTTCTCCCCAACCCCCCCCCCTCCCCTCCGTCCCCCCCCCCCCGTCGTCCCCCAGCTGCTCCATTCAGGAGGCACGCAAGCAAAGCCATGTCTCCACCTCTCCCTTGCCTGCCGTCTGCCATCCCCGCGTGATCCCCCTACCATCTGACATGGCCCCCCCATCCGCCCCCCCCACTTTCTTCTCCTCCCCCGCCCCCACCACTTCACCGCCTTTCCGGCAGTTTCCCGCAAGGCCATCCGCCCACCCCTGCCACCCACATTCGCCAACACCCTCACCTGCCATGCCATCTGCCATGGCCCTCGCATTCCCCCCAACACCTCCCCTCTTGCCCCCCCCCTTCCCCTTCCCCTCCCCTCCCCTTCACAGCCGCTCCATGGAGGAGGCCCGCAAGGTGCATGTCAAGTTCATCGCCTTTCCCGCAGTTTCCTGCGGCATCTATGGGTGAGTCAGCATTACGTGTTCGTGACTCAGCAGCACCATGGGTGGGTGAGTCAGCATTATGTTCCAGTAAGTCAGCATCATGTGTGGGTGAGTGAGATAGATCGTCTTCAGCCATTCTTGCAGTTTAATCAGGCACTGTCCCTGCTGTTTACTTCCACATTGCTCATGCTGTTCGTGTGGCTTATGAGATTCCTTGGCTTGGCCCGCCGCCGGCCTCTAAAAGATCTGCCGCGACAAATCCTTCCGTGTGACCGGTGTGCTCTGTGCTGTGTGCGCTGCCCGCCGATGTGCCCCCTGGTGGTGCCTCATGCTGCATGCATCTGCAGCTACCCTTTCCCCGACGCTGCTCAGGTGTCACTCAAGGCCCTTCAAGCAACCTGTGCTGGCTTTTCAGAGGTCAGTCTATCCATCCGCTTACCACTCACTCTCCCTCTCACCGTCCCTCTCACCGTCCCTCTCACCGTCCCTCTCACCGTCCCTCTCACCGTCCCTCTCACCGTCCCTCTCACCGTGCCTCTCACCGTGCCTCTCACCGTGCCTCTCACCGTGCCTCTCACCGTGCCTCTCACCGTGCCTCTCAATGTTGCCTTTGATCTTTTATGGGATTTTCAAAGGTGGCACTTGTGTCATGGCTGTATGCCTCACATTAAGGGGCTTGTTGCCTTCCGTTGCCTTGCGTTGACCCTCTCACGTGTGTGTAATGTGCCGGTCGTGTGCATCTGGGCATCTGGGCATCTGGGAATATTTGCACTTTTGTCATCTGGCCAACTGGGCATGAATGCAGGTCCATTTCATTCTATTCAATGAGAAGGGCATGGATTCAAACGAAGGTCATCCCCCCTCATAGTTGTGCCCGTGTGTGTGCATGTCTGTGCGTGTGCTCGTGCGCATGCGAGCAGGTGCATTTCATTCTTTTCAACGAGGAGGGCATGGATGCATATGAAGGAGCAGCAGAAGACTTGCAGCTGCCGCCTCTCGAGATCGAAACGGACGGCTGAGCCAGCTGCGTCACACAAGCAAAGCAAGCTCATTTGTGGGATCCATGTGTGTGACTGTCAGCACTTTGCTGGCTCATTTTGCAGGTTCCCTCTACAAGCTCATTGCAGTTTGTGAGATGGATTAAGCTCATGAAATGTGGTTTAATGAGTTGTTGCTGTAGCCTTTGGAGGTCGAAGTCGAAGCGAATTGCCTGTTGGACCACCTGGAAATAATAAATGCAGTAGGTAGCTGGACGACTCACACCCGTATTCTGCAACCAACCAAGTATAGCCGGTGTACAGCACAACTGCTTTCTGCAACCAATCTCGCTGCACTTCATACATTGCACTGCAGTCGACCATGCCTGCTGCAGCAGTGCAATGCAATCACACAAAGGACCGCCCCAGCTTGTGCTCAAAGAGGCGGTGCAACAGATACACCTGCAGAGATGGGAAAGGTGGGTGAGGAGTGTGGAGACAGGTGAGAAATCCACAGTACCCTAAACCACGTTTGATCAAGCAAATATGGCCAAAAATGCCTGTCCTTTTGCTCTGTTGGTGTAACAGATGGACCTGGAGAGGGCGAAGGAAGTGCAGGGGGGAGAGGGGAGGGCAGTTTGTTGAAAGAGGAAATGCTGCTGATACAAGTGGAGAGATGGAAGGTGGGGGTGGGATAGAAGTATGAGCATCACCTGACTTGCACTGTAGCATCACCTGACCAGCACTGTAGCAGCACCTGACCAGCACTGTAGCATCACCTGACCAGCACTGTAGCATAACCTGATCAGCACTAAAACATCATCTGACTAGCACTGTAGCATCACCTGACCAGCACTGTTGCGTCACCTGGATAGGGCTGCAAAGAATGAGCGCGCCTGATTGGACGGCTGTCTTGAAGATGAGCCTTGCTGTGGTGGTCTTGGCCACTGGGCATGGAAACAGGGCGGGTGGAACGGGGTGGAGGGTAGGGAGGGAGAGATGAAGGGGGAGCAGTGGCGTGGGAAGATGAGCCTTGCTGTGGTGGTCTTGGCCACTGGGCATGGAAACAGGGCGGGTGGAACGGGGTGGAGGGTAGGGAGGGAGAGATGAAGGGGGAGCAGTGGCGTGGGAAGATGAGCCTTGCTGTGGTGGTCTTGGCCACTGGTCATGGAAACAGGGCGGGTGGAATGGGGTGGAGGGTAGGGAGGGAGAGATGAAGGGGGAGCAGTGGCGTGGGAAGACGAGCCTTGCTGTGGTGGTCTTGGCCACTGGGCATGGAAACAGGGCGGGTGGAACGGGGTGGAGGGTAGGGAGGGAGAGATGAAGGGGGAGCAGTGGCGTGGGAAGACGAGCCTTGCTGTGGTGGTCTTGGCCACTGGGCATGGAAACAGGGCGGGTGGAACGGGGTGGAGGGTAGGGAGGGAGAGATGAAGGGGGAGCAGTGGCGTGGGAAGACGAGCCTTGCTGTGGTGGTCTTGGCCACTGGGCATGGAAACAGGGCGGGTGGAACGGGGTGGAGGGTAGGGAGGGAGAGATGAAGGGGGAGCAGTGGCGTGGGAAGACGAGCCTTGCTGTGGTGGTCTTGGCCACTGGGCATGGAAACAGGGCGGGTGGAACGGGGTGGAGGGTAGGGAGGGAGAGATGAAGGGGAGCAGTGGCGTGGGAAGACGAGCCTTGCTGTGGTGGTCTTGGCCACTGGGCATGGAAACAGGGCGGGTGGAACGGGGTGGAGGGTAGGGAGGGAGAGATGAAGGGGGACCCTAGGGCCGCAGCTCCCACAGGCACTTCTCCAGCCACAGCGTCGTCAGCAGCACCAGTCTCAAACGCAGTGGCCGCGTCAGCCCTTGCCGCCGGCTCGTGAGCTTCCGGTCCCGCGCACTCCTCTGCCTCCCCTGCGGCAGCAGCCCCAGCCACAGGTGTCTCAGGACCCCGATCCCGATCGACCTGCCCCTTTGTCTCCGGCAGTGTTAACTCTGCCGCTCTCCCCTCGGCGCCACCGCGTCGAGTCGCGCGTAGGGCACGTGGGGACTTGCCTGTCCCTGCTGGCGATGGTCCTGGACCAGCTGCACGTTTATCAGGCGTGGCTGTCGCGTCCTGGAGATGTTCCTCCGGCAATGGCACAGCAGGAACAAGAGGAAGCCACAGCGGCAGCGATGCAGATGCTGCACATGCTGCCCTTGATTGGGCTGGTGCCGGGGTCCCCTGCCTCCGCGTTGGGGCCTGGCCCTGCTTCACTGAGGCGGCTTGCCCTTGCCGCCCTGTAGGCCCCACGTGACATCGTGCCAGCCGCTGCGTCCGTGCTACGCTGGATGGACGGGCGACTTTCCTGGATTTTGGCTGAATAGCGGGCCCCTTCCCTTTGCCGGCCTCCTTGGGTCCATGCCCGAATTTGGGCTTCCCCATGGCCTTTGCTTCTCGCCTGGAGGTAATGATGATGCAGTAGGTCGCCCTAGAGCATGTTGTACCCCATGTTGTATTTATGTTTTGCCTTCCTTCTCCTCTTGCCACCCCTCACGCGCGGCCGGAGGCCGCGCCGGTGAGCGTTTTGGAGAGTAAAATGAAATCACTAGTGAAGAATGAGCTCCAAGGGGTGCATCTAGAGGCTTTATACTAGAAAATACTGGTGAAAACGGCTAAGGACTAAGGACTAGGACTAAGAGGCTGAAAAACGGCTAAGGACTAACCCCAAGCCATCTCTCAAGCGGTCATGCATTTATGTTGTTGAAGGGGTACAGGCATGCAAGTGTCGGTTTTAACCGGTAGGCTATCCTAGGCAAGCAACCTGATGGGAGGCCAAGAAAGCAAGCAACCAAGCCACAGCCTTCACAAACAAAACAAACAACCTAAGCAAACGTAACCAGAGCATGAGCCGCCGATTGCCACCATCAGAAACGCCTAGGTTCACCTCTTACTCCTGCTATGGCCAGCCCTATTCCGCCCCTGCCGCCTTTGCTTCACCCTCCCCTGCGTTTACACCCCTGCGAGGTCATCATCAAGCACCTGCCAGAGGTCCCCTAGGCTCGGCTCCCAGGGGTCCATAGGTGCTTGGGGGAAGGCCGCTTCAGCCGCCATGTTGCTCTTGTTGAGGAATGAGGTGGCCTGAGAGCGCTGCAGCATGACTGACCAGCGTTGGCGGTAGTGTGCATTGAGGCGGGAGGCTGTGTTAGTGAGTGGCCCCTGCCTGAACTTCTTTCTCGCTGTGGCCACGGCCAACAGCCGAAGGAACTGCACTGTGTCTATTGCCAGTGCCCCGTAAGTCTCCACTGAAAGGCCAAAAAACCCCACATAGTCAGGCCGGCCTTCGTACAAGCAGTGTTTCTTCTCCGAAGCTTCCCTGGCCGCCCACCCAGGCGGCTTACGTACTCGTGGGTCCTGCTTTTGCAGCACCGGGTCTGTCACTGTTACATCCGTGACCCAAGTCTCCGCTGACTCCTTGTCCTGGAACGCTAGATCCGCACGCTTGCGAAGGACGGGGGGGAGAGAAAACCGACGTCTCATGGAAGGTGTTGAAGCCTGCCTCCCTCGCCAACCTCAGAGCCGTATAGACCAGTGCATTGTGTGTCCTCACCACATCCCCCCCCCTCACCACAACGGAGCAGGTGGTTGGCTAAGCTGGTGTCCGCGATATCAGAGTTGTCGTGCTTACAGGGGCACTTGACTGTGTCTGGTAGGGCCATCCCGAGGCGGAAACCGAGTGCTAACGAGAATTGACAAGGGGCAAATGTAAGGTCAGATCTCGTCGGCACTGCGTGAAGCCAATCCCCGGCCCCCACTCCCTTCAGACTAATCAGCCCGACCCCATGCCCCTGGTCCTCCCCCGGTTTGTCAACCATAGTGTCGGCTAGCAGCTCCCTTGCCCGTGTGACGTTGATGTGCTTTGACAGGAGCAGCTGCAAGTTCCCCTGACCTGCCGGGCCCGCTCTGTAGGCCTGGAGTGCTGTCTGTGCCTCTGCCGGCAATCCCTCCTCCAGTGTCACCAACACATTCGTCGCTGGAGGCGGGGGAACCCACTCCCTGGACAAGAGGGTTACTACCCGCGACAGCAACTCCGACTCCCGCAAGTTCATCTACTGTAACAGGTGATGCGCTGCCGTGAGGGAGGCGATATATGCCGTCGGTGCCTCAGAGATAGGGTCGATGATGCTCAGTCCTCCCAGGCGGACGGGCAGAATCGCCTGTCGCCAAAGGAGGCTCTGCTCCAACTCAGTTGAGGGATCCTTAGCTTGGCTGCCGTTAGTGCCGGACCTAGCAGTGACTCGCTCCATGCCTTCCACTCCTCCCGTTCCAGTGTGCCATTCGCAGTGGTGCGAAGCAGGTAAGAGATCCTGCGTGAGATGCTGCGGGTGAGTAGAAGCCGGGCGTGTTGTGGGTGCAGCTGCGCGATCAGGGGGACCGGTGCCGATACTTTGGTGAGCACCTGCCGAACCTGTGTGGTGCAAAACTCCAGTGTGCCGATAGGACTACCTAGCATCATGATCCCCTCCGTACTCATCGACAACCCGTGTGGTGGCCCTGCAAGTCCCTCGTTTCCCTCCCGTGGTCCCCATGCCGATGACTTCGCTACGTTGCATCGAAGTCCACGCTTTGCCAGTTCTGTGACGATGACATCGAATGCCTTAAGACCCACTTGGTCCTAGACAAACGCGAAAAGTTTTTGCCGGGTATGCCAAATTTTTGAAAACCCGACGAACCACGCTTCACCGAGCACTTGAATGCCTGTGTTTCTGGCTGTTTGCCCGAAAACATTTTGGTGACAACTCCAGCCACGATTTCGATAACTGCGCGCGATCAGAATCAACTCGGAGTCGGTGGACAGTCAGAAAAAAACACCGTTGGCAAATTGCAGGAACCTGATGTCGCCGAATTGTCTGCCAGCAATTATCCGTCCACCACCCCCAAAGTTGCGATGATCTTCAATACTTTGTATGGTGAGTGCCAGCTTGGGGTTAAATTGGAGCTTGCTCTGACCTTTTAATATCATCAATTCGTCTCCTCTGATTGCAAGCGTTGTCAGTTCCCCTTTAAACCTCCCTTGTTTTGAC